GTTCCTTTTTAAATCTCATAAATTAATAAAATATTCAAAGTTTTTAATTAAGTTAGTTAACATTGGTTCATATTGAGTAATAGTCAAATTAAAATGTTGAAAATTGTAATAATTACTGTCATTAGAGCGCTTCATAGTCTTAATGCTATAAATGACATTTCTTATTGATGAGGTTGAAAATTGTAATAATGACGTCATTAAAGAGCTTCCTAATCTTATTCTATAAATGACAATTCAATATTGAATTTGCTTCTCTCTAGCGCACAAATTTCTTTGGTTGGGAGTGTTTAAATTGAATAGTGATATATATATTAATAAATATTCCTTGAAATGATATATATATATATATATATATATATATCAACCAATTAAATAGGATTGGTTCACCTAATATATATATATATATATCAACCAATTAAATCAGGATTGGTTCACCTAAAACCAAACATATATTTTAACTTTATTTTTATTTTTGTTAGAGTTCAAATAAACCCTTACAATTAGTAACATCATAAAAATATCAATAAAAATTTAAAAAGATTAACACAATTTACTTTTATAAAAAAAATCAATAAAAATTTTACCACACTTCATAAATTATTTCCAAATATATTTAATGTTATTTTTAAAATTTTGTAATTATTTTTTAAATTATGAGTAAAAGTATTTTTTTTTTAACTAGAAAATCTATAAAAAAATTTAAAAGTATTAATAAATTCAAAGTATTTTTATATAAAATATTAACATGAGTAATTTAATTTTTTTTTAAGATTTAATATGAGACATTTGATATGCAACTATGGACAATACACCTTTGACAAGTATGACCGTGACATTAAGTCTGGCCTAGAGTAAAGGTAAGCTAGCTACCGTTGTAAACGAGTGAAAATACACGTGCATGTAACATGTACGGTCGAATGAAACTTAGTTTCTACTTTAGTTATAGTCGATCCGTGAAAAGAATCTCGCGTATTGATGTAGCCAAACATATAATAAAGGTGATTTTTTTTTTTAACTTATTTAGCACGTTGTGGAAAGTGAGGTCCCAGTAAAAATAAAATAATAATAATAATAGCAGTCATGGTGGACGCCGTGAAATCTAACGTCAGAAAGCAAGTCTGGCTGAAAGTTCGCCACAAGTCTCACCTAACTCCCGCCGTCAGAGAACGCCGTCTCTCCAACCAATTGCCAATTGAATCTGTTGCTTATAAAGTCCCCAATTGTCAATTTCATTAACCTCCAACTTAATTTTCAGTTCAATCTAATTTCGTTCCTTCTTCTCCGGCATGGATCTCCTCCTCCTTGAGAAGGCTCTAATCGGCCTCTTCATCGCCATGGTTCTTGCCATCGCCATTTCCAAGTTACGCGGCAAGCGATTCAAGCTTCCGCCGGGGCCGTTGCCGGTGCCTATATTCGGAAACTGGCTCCAGGTCGGCGATGACTTGAACCACCGCAATCTGACAGAACTTGCCAATAAATTCGGCGATATTTTCATGCTCCGGATGGGACAGAGGAGCCTCGTGGTGGTTTCCTCGCCGGAACTGGCCAAGGAAGTGCTCCACACGCAGGGAGTCGAGTTTGGATCTCGAACCAGAAACGTCGTTTTCGACATCTTCACCGGTAAAGGTCAGGATATGGTCTTCACCGTATATGGTGAGCATTGGAGGAAAATGAGACGGATCATGACAGTTCCGTTTTTCACTAACAAAGTGGTCCAGCAATACCGTCAGGGATGGGAGGATGAGGCCGCTAGTGTAGTGGAGGATGTGAAGAAGAATCCAGAATCGGCGACGACCGGAGTCGTTCTCCGGCAGCGATTGCAGCTTATGATGTACAACAACATGTACAGGATTATGTTCGACAGAAGATTCGAGAGTGAAGACGATCCTCTGTTTCTCAAACTTAGGGCTCTGAACGGAGAGAGGAGCCGATTAGCGCAGAGCTTCGATTACAACTATGGCGACTTCATCCCTATCTTGAGGCCGTTCTTGAGAGGATATCTCAAAACGTGCAAGGAAGTCAAGGAAACAAGGCTCAAACTCTTCAAGGATTATTTTGTCGATGAGAGGAAGTAAGTTCGAAATCAACTGATCTAAATCGAATTGTTGACATTTTTACTGAAAAAACTCCTGAACAATTTTGAACAGGAAATTGGCGAACACGAAGAAGACGACAAACGAGGGATTGAAATGTGCAATTGATCATATGTTGGATGCGCAACAGAAGGGAGAAATCAACGAAGACAATCTGCTTTACATTGTTGAGAATATCAATGTTGCAGGTAAATTCATAAGTCCAATTACTAGCGTCATAATTTACTAATTAAATATGTGATCTAAATCTTTCCATAATCTCGTACGGTTATACGATTATTCTATATTGGACCTTTGAAAATAAATAAACATTTATAAGATACCTTCAAATTTTATTTAAAATTAAACTTAAAAAGGTTGGCCTTTATGGCTAGGGTGTTATCGTCTTTTCATGCTGTTGGGCAGAATATATATGACTGTTATGTACTAATCATTGCATATTGTTTATTTGAGCATAAAATCTTTCGATTTTAGACTCCTTGTATTAATGAAGATATATTTCTTATTTATAAACCCTCGAACAATCTTCTGAGGTCTATGGAGCCTTCGAATAACCTTTCCATAATCGACATTGATTGAGAGTGTTTTGGCTTTGCTTTGGCCTCATCTCATCCGATGGTTATTGATTTGAGTTCATGGTTTACATTTGTGGAACAGCAATTGAAACAACGTTGTGGTCAATTGAATGGGGGATTGCGGAGCTAGTGAACCACCCAGAAATCCAAAGGAAGTTGAGGAATGAGCTCGACACTGTACTCGGACCCGGGGTTCAAATTACTGAGCCGGACGCCATCAAGCTCCCATACCTCCAAGCCGTGATCAAGGAGACCCTCCGCCTTCGCATGGCTATTCCTTTGCTTGTGCCCCATATGAACCTCCACAACGCCAAGCTAGGCGGCTACGACATTCCAGCTGAGAGCAAGATCTTGGTCAATGCATGGTGGCTTGCTAACAACCCAGCCAACTGGAAGAACCCAGAAGAGTTCCGCCCCGAGAGGTTCTTGGAGGAGGAGTCCAAGGTAGAGGCCAACGGCAACGATTTCAGATACCTACCCTTCGGTGTTGGGCGAAGGAGCTGTCCTGGCATCATCCTGGCTTTGCCTATCCTTGCCATCACAATTGGGCGTTTGGTTCAGAACTTTGAGCTCCTTCCCCCTCCTGGTCACTCCAAGTTGGACACCACAGAAAAAGGTGGGCAATTTAGCTTACACATATTGAAGCACTCCACCATTGTTGCTAAGCCCAGGGTGTTCTAGACTTTGTTTTCCAACGGTCTCTTGGTGAAAGAGGATGCTATGTATTCAATTTGGGGAGATGATTTTGGAAGGTTAGGTTGAACTGATTGATCACATAGGTTGTTAGAGATCTTCAATCAAATAATACATGTGAAGCCTTCAGAAGCCACACTTTTATTTCTCAGTTCAATAAATTTAAATTTCTTACCTGAAATCTTCTTTCGCTTACCCAATTAAGTATAATTAAACTATTCATCTAACCAAAAATTCTCAAATCTCAAATATGGTTGATGCTCTTGCAACCTATCTTATTCGTTAGTAGTATTATACCATACCATCATGACATGGCGTCAAATAAATTCCTCAATCCTATAGCATCATTGTATTAAATTAACTAAACTCCATGTTGTGATCCCACCTATACACATGAATCATTAAGAAGACTAGAAGAGGAACTTGAGACTGAGCTAATACATATTGCTGTTTTATACAATATTTTTCCTTGTTCACTAATAAATCGACTAATTAAACTCATGTTTCTATAATCAATTCGATCCCCCGATTGAATCGGGGGTAAACGCCTACGAAAAGATCGTTTGGATTTAAGAAGGAGTCTCTTGGATTTATCCATGGTTTGTTTATTCCTTATCCCGAAAATCCTATTTCGATCGGATCTAAAATAATTTAGAATTAAGAAATAGGATTTGGTTTGTTTATATTTAAATCTAAAATATGTTTAATATATGTAATTTTGCATCTTCCTTGGATTGGAAAAGGGTGACACACAGACGATTGGTTCGATCTATTTCTTTATCTCCCCATGAATCGTATGTTTGTAACAACGGGGACAGAATTTTCTTCACTTTATTTTCAAGCTACATTTATATTTGGTGAGATACTTTTAGGTCATCTAAACTAATTTAGAAATCTACAAATTTGCTCAACCAAGAAGAGTTTAAATTGATCTGAATCTAATTTTAAAGTGATTTTATATATTCATTAGATGTATCCTTCAGAGTCGTTAAACTAGCTATGAATAAGATGATATTCTTCTCATACCAATCAATTAGCATTAGGTTCAGAAACAGTAACATACATGGTAAAGATTAACAAAACTAATTCTACTCTTGAGAGAAAACGAGAAACCAATCTTAATAAAAAAAAAACAATTAAACTTGTTATGAAGATAAAATAATCACACGAGCAAGGAAGACAACAAGAAGATTCACAACATAAGCTAAAATCATAGACATAAACACCGTGGAAAATGGAAGATACACACCAAGATAAAATGAACAAGGAGAGGAAACATTTTGTGGTGTAGTAATTTGAAAAGTACTCGAAGAAGAATAAAAGCTTAAGCAAAGAAGTCATGCGACAACACGAACGATTTGTTTCAGTTACATATCAATGAATTGCTAAAAATACTCAACTATGAAGAACATGAATGAAGATAATCATAAAAGAAAACACGAGACCATGAAATTGACACCAAATCACTTTAAAACATCGCCTTTGGAATTGAATAAAAATACATAAACAAATTTCATAAAAGCCAAACGACAGCCACAATATGACTGGACGAACTTCATAAATGGCAACAATGGCGAGAATTTATGGAAAATTTTTTAATTGGACAAATATGTTACAATTATATCTTGCAAGTTGGAAAAAAAAATAATTTAATCAATATCACATTAGAGAATGCAAATCCACAAAATTAACAAGACAGAATTCAGGATTATGTCCAGAGAATGAAAGGGCTACATCATGCTCGCTGGATTGAAAGGCTGTTTTCGTCCTGTTTTTGAATTGTTCCGATAAAACGAAAAGAGAAAAATATCGACTATCATACTAGTATTAATAAATTCTCAATAAGGTAATAATCAACAGCAGGTTCATGCCCTGTTTAGTTTACTCGATTCCGGCTTGTATGCTAGAAGGAGCGCAATAAGACGGTCTCAATACAGATCGGCAAAGGCGGAGGGGGTCATCATGCCAACCATTTGAATCCTACCAGGCGTTTTAGTAGATTGGCGCCAAGGATGTGGTGTCACTCTAATTGATCAATAGGAGATGCTGCTACCAAGGACGAACACTAAAAACATTAAAGCTGAATCGGAGCTCTATGTTATTCTACATTACCATTTGTAACTAAGATCAATCCAGGAGAACGGCTAGATAAAGCCTTCAAGAGACGATCCCAGGACGGAAATTCGGTAATATAATCTTATAATAACAAATTAGAAAATGGAACCGTTTATAGAAATTATAAAATCAAATTCAACGAAATTATAAAATCAAATAGTATTTTAAATTCCCAGCAAACGAACAAAAATGCATTTTTTTCGTACTAAATGTAATTTCAAATCTCATTTCCGTCACATTCCAACCAAGAACAAATGAGAAGAAAATAAACAAGGTATATTCGGCAAAATTTGAAAATGTTCGAAGCTGTTTGGAGGAAGATTCACGAAAATGTTTGAAAAAATAAACAAGGTATATTCGGCAAAATTTGAAAATGTTCGAAGCTGCTTGGAGGAAGATTCACGAAAATGTTTGAAAAAACCTCTCAAGTATGCTTCTAAGTAATAACTACCTTGTTGTCTGCCTCCTAACTAAGCACGATATGAAACCTAATCCACACGGCTACTCAAAGAGGCATTTCCTTCGTTAGAGTAGAAACTAGAGAGAAACCTACCAGACTATCACGTCGACCAAAGAGGGATTTCATTACTACTCAAATCTGTTAAATCCGATCATCTAAATAACGATCCAGCCTCCACTATAGATCGATCGCAGACAAAAGAAAATAACTCGTCATCTACTTACATTTTCAAGAGAAATTCCCGCTAGGTTTCTCGATTGTGTTAATAGTTAGTCTGAAGGTAATTTCTAGTCAATTCCTACCGCATTATCCCCTGAAAATTATACGAACCTAGTAAAATCAATAGAGTAAACAGATAAATTGGAAACAGGAGAAGAATCCTAGTAAATTCGCATCGCATTTACGCCTGAAAATGATTAACGAACCTAGCAAAATCGATAAAGTAAAGAGGTAAACTAGAGAGCAGAGATTGAGATAAGACATTAAGATGTAGGTCTAAACCAGGCCCCCAAATCAGAAAGCATCAGAGGGAGCAGACATGTCGACCTATGAATTCGATTTCTGTGCACACTACCATGCTTCCTTCATTCCTTATTTCCAGAGCATCGGCTTATTGTACACAGATCAACCTCCCCTAACTGGCTTCATGAATACTAAAAATCCTAAAACGAAAACTATAAATCAAGGGAAGAGAACAACCAAAGAATATGCATGAATACGGTAAATTGGAACGAAGAAACAACCACAGCGAACTGAAGAGATCTATTTCAAAATATGGCTGGAGCTTCATTTATATAGAAAAAAATTTAGGGTTTCCCATAACGAAGAGCTAAAAATGATACTTGTGGGAAAGCCCATTAATTACATTAATGGGCCGATATGGGCTTACGTGTAGTTTATGGGCCGCCGAAATATTAGGGGATCGTCTAAGAATCGTTTTCTATTTTCGGATCGTTGTTGGACATAAAACGGGGAGTTTTGGTTATGTTTTATTTGATAAAATTATGTATTTTGTCCCCCAATTATGTCTCCATTTATTAACTTTCTACGTGGCAAGTGACAAATTATAGGAAATTTATATTTAATAAGACTTTAATTATTTGTGAAATAAAAAATAAATTAAATTGAGGTATTTATCATCATTTTTTTAATAAGTTTTTATGTATTTAAATGGTTGAATTGTAGTTAGAGATAGTCTATATCTAACTGTTTTGAATTAAATTAATTTCTTTTTATTTAAATCGGGAATGAGGGGGAGAGATGTCTTTCAACTAGCTAAATGTGCGTGTGGGCCGGGATTATATCCCATGTCCCCATCACTACCCAACCCTGCAAAATCTCGATCCCAAGAAAATGAAGATTGAAATAGGTGGGGACAAGAAACACATTCTTGTCATTGTCTCGCTTCGTAGACGTCTTCTTATGTACTTACCACTTATACGATAGGTTTTTGTATTTTTTTTTGTGTCGGTTCGTGGTCCGATACAAAATTGCACATACACCCTGAACATATGTTTCTCGTGTTTCTATATAATAATTTAAGTTAAATGAGTTATTAGATTTTTTTTAAGTTAATAAATATGTAAATTTTGGCTAAAATGATCACATTTTAATAATAAAGGCTAAAATGATCATATCGAAGTATACACGTTGGGATTAAACTTTAATTTAATTATTAATTTTTTTCTCCTTCGACCTTCTTCGGGGGTGTGATTCTATTTCAATTCATTGCTCGTTGTCTCGATTCGCGCCAAGAACTTCGCTTCTTGCGAAGAGCCATGTCGGGCAAAAGTACGATTGCATTTACAATTCGACAATCTAAATCTGCATTTCTCGTTTCCCTGCTCTCTCAGGTAACCTTCTGTTCAGTGATCGTCGTGTTCTATGACTGATCGTCGTTTAAGTTTTTCCGACTTGTGTTATTAGAGCAATTCGTTGAGACGTTGCTGACTTGAATATTCTTTGAGAATGAGATATTTCTTGTGCATTTGAAATGAAGTTAACGCCATGGACGCCATTGCTAGTTTGAAGCTTTTGTTCATCGTCGAGCACATTTTAAACTGTTGCACAAAGTGTAGCTTCTCCTTGCTAAATTTTACATAAATTTCTAAGTTCTGCTGAAAATGTGCCTGTCCTCGTAAAATTTTCACGATTTCAGTCGCTCCTCGGATTGGCTTCAAAAGTGTAGCAGAAAAGCAAGTTCAACGAATTTAGAGAAAAAAATCATTTACACAGTATCTCGTGAACGGTTTACTCCCTCTCTTTGAAGCAGACTCGGTCTGAATATTTCTGGTACTGTGTTAATTCGTTGTTGTTTCACGAAGTATCCATCTGACAATGGTTTCTTGTGCTAATTATTCAGGATTAAGAATTTTTATGAAACGTGAATAATTTTCCTCGTTTTCCTCTCAAACTCTAGGCATTACTCGTCAATCCTTTTAGCTTCGTGCTTTTTCAAAATGAACTGTATCAAATCCATCGTCGATTCATCATGTATTTTGGAAAGTAACGTTTTCGAAAATGTTTTCCATTTTCATTTCAGCATACTCTTGAGATATTTCACGTAGTTCTTAGCCTTGTCATATTATTATGTTACGATACATATTTGATCATTAGAGTGGTGCTTCTTTTTCCTTTTAGCAATAAGGCCTGGCTTCATTTCAGTATGTTGCAGTGGATGGGAGGCTCCAGGCGGAAAGTTTCAACGGTAACTGTGACTTAAACTAGTTCAACTTAAATTGACTGCAATTAGTCAGTGTTTTTCTGTTAGCTGTTTGTCCTTCAAATTCCAAGTAATATATAAGAAACATCAATGTCAAAATTTTCAGTTTATTAATACTTGTCTATTTGAATGATTATATAGCGTAGACGTAGCAGCTTGCACATACAATATGGTTTTTCTTCTCTCTCATATTGCTTCTTCGGCTAACATTCTGAAGCAAGTAAATTGTAGGAAAATAGACGAATAAATAAAAGTTTGCAACTCAGTGGCTTTTTCACTTCACAAAACAATAGTCTTTTTCGGTGTGTGGCTAGGTGACCAAACAGGTCGTGCAGGTGCTATGCAGATCAAGTTTATTTTTTCTCTTCTTTTGATGTTCTTTGATAGTCACATACTGTCACGAAGGTAGGCCGTAAACTAGATAAATCTAGCTAGCTTTCTTTCTAGATTTACATATTACAACAGCACGTGCTCCCATTTTATTAATCCTTCTGTTCTGGAGGAAGAATTCATGAGTTACTTACATTATAGTTGTATCTACCTCTGATTGTCTATAATTATATTTACTTTAAAACAGGGCTAAATTTTTGTTCTGATTCATAAGCATTTCCCTTTTGCATGATTAAAATTGACATCTGCTTGGTGGGAACTACTCAGACAAGGAAATCCACACAAAACAGGTAAAAAGGGTTTGTAAATTCTCAATTTTGTTTGCAGTCGTGCATTTATTATTTTAATCTTCATAACTTTCCAGAAATAGCATTTTATGAAATTGTTGTTATGGAAATAAGGATCGATAGGTTTGTATGGTAAATGCTAATAGTTCCACTGTATCTGCATCTTCAATTCACCTAATCTCTAATTTCTTAAGTTTTCTTACTTTTAAGTGTAACCTTTTCTATTATCAAGACAAAAGCAGTATTTTGAGCAAAGAAAAAGACGACAACAGCTGTCCTCTGGTTCAGAGAATTGTCATGATGCAACTGACACAAGCAGGGAACAAAAAGAGAATCGGTCACTGGACATTCTAAATTTCCTAAATTTATCAGCAATTCCTCAAGAGAATAAAGCTGCTTACACCATTGGTAACTTTGCAAAACTACTGAATTGAAGCTTAGAACTTGTTTTTCGTTTTTTTCTTTTCTTCTAAATCGTTTGAAAGTAGAAGGTAAAGGAATTCTACCATTGCACTCCCGTGTAAAGGTTTCACAGTTGCCTTCTATAGAGATTAGATTAGTATGCAAAGTTACATTTCCATAAGTCATTTTTCCTGGTTGTCCCCAAGTTTGGATAATCAGCAGAATATATTGTAATCTGCTCAATGGAATGCTTGAAGTTAGGCTAATATTACGAGGATCATATAATTTAGTAATGTAGGTAAAAGGTCGAATATATTAGAGCAGATTAGTTTGTGATATTTGGTTTTGAGTGAAATCGTTTTAGAATCTTGAGCGAGGTTTTCTTTGGGAGGGGTGTGCGTACTGTTTTCTGGTTTTAGTGAGGTTTTGTTTGTGAGAGTGGATTTTGCGTACCCTGTTTGGATTTTTCTTTTTAAATTTTCAATTTCTTAATAAGATGTTTTGTTTCTGTTTTGAGGAAAAAAAGGGGAAAAAGAATAAGACATGACCTCTTGTTTGTTCCAAAAAAACGTTGTTGTTTGATCCGCAAGCCACTGATTCTTCTGAATACCTTATTCTTTGTTGTTTAGTTAATGACGAATTACATGTTTATATTCTTTCATGATGTTTTGTTACAGAGGCCAATACTTCAAGGGTGCGGTCTCCTTCCATCAAAGGCCCAGTTCCAACTCTTTATAACATAAAGACATTAGAGAAATCTGCTGAGTTTGAAAATAAACGTAATTTTCTAACTAATATTTTGATTCTTCCTATTCTATCCCAATCTGTTGTCCCTAAGACCATTTAAGCTGAAGTAAAAGCATTATTTTGAAGAGCAAAATGACGAAGCAGGAGCTCCATCCGGCTACAACGGGGAAACTTTATCTCCACTGAAGTGAGTAAGAATTGTTTCGATAGAGCTATATATATGAAACATCTCATATTCATTCACATATTTCTTCATAGCTTCTGCAACTTAGTTTGATCTGCATCCATATACTTTCAAACTGACGTAATTACTGGTAAATAATCTTGATTATATCAGGATCTTTTGTTGTGTTGTGTGTGTGTGTGTTTATGGTAGAGTGATTTACTTCTAGTTATTATATTTACAATCGTCTGTAGACTTTTTGGTATGTATAACATGTATTTTTTAGCAGACATGCAAGTAGTGATCCCAACAATCTTCATAACACTAAAAGCAAAGTAGATTCTCAATCAGATCTGGGGAAGCTATCTGTTGAGCAAAGTAAGTACGCAAAATCCATTGAACTCTTGTTGTTTTCCATACTTATCCTAAAATATTGATGTTTGCTGAAGTTGAAACCAGAATTGTTAAACATAAGAGCTAACTTGATAACATAGCTTTGTTTTTTAGTTTGTAATTGATATTTGCCATCAGCTGCTCCCGTTACTTTTGATTATAAATTTTGTACCTGAACTGTAACAGTCCCATTTGTCAGGTATTTCTATATTTGATTTGCTTGGCGATGATGGAATGGTTGTCAAATGCGAAGGAAGTCCAATGAAAGAAGCTCATGTCGCGTTTTCAGTTGACGGTACAGACTACTAATTAGAGAATATTTAATTTAGGTTCATGATCTTGCCTTATATATGTCTGGATGATTTTAAGGGGTATAAATCAAATTCATTCTGCGGGTAGACTCTCTAGTCTGAAGAAACTCTTGATTGATTGGCATTTTTCATTTTAGAATGTTGTTGACGGACTTGTGCTCAAACAAGATGCTTCTAAGGTTTTATGAGGTAACATAGATGATTGAAATACCGACAGAAACTAAGGTCGCAAATTGATCAGAAATGGGATGACTACCCTAGGGGACCTCAAAGAATTATGCTCTCTTACTCGTTCACTATTCAAAGCTCTTTAATTTTATCGCAGATAAATAGTTTTTGAATGCCATATATTTTTATAACATTTCAGCTATAACATTAACAGAATTTCTGAATGCCGTATGCTGTTTCCAGTATGGAGAGTAACGGCAACACACATACATCTATATTTTTCTGAAGTTGGTGCCTTTTCTCCGGACTATTTTTAATGATAATCGATGTTGTCAGGTTTGGGCAGAGTAGGAATGGAGACACCAGCATGTTCCCCTCAGCATGCCAGCAGGTATTTGAATAATATTTTATTTGTTCATTCCATAACCATAAAAAAAAAAAGATAATAATAATAATAAATAAATAAATAAAAACCCTCTGAATTAAAATTATAAAATTAAAACATTCGAGCCTAACATATATTTCCCACTGCGATAGCAGAAGCTTTTCTTATGGCTTTTCATCTCGTCAAGAAAGAATGAGGCCTTGGAACTCCTCAAAGAACATTAAGGTGTTGGATGACTTTGAACTTGAAGGAGTAAGAGCAGTCCATAATGCATCTTGCTACATTTGTTTGATCTCATAAAATTCTTATGCTGTCGATTTTTTCTGATAGTGTTATAGCATTGAATTTTACAACTCATCAGTCTTCTCATTATTTTGTTGTATTCTCTGCTTCTTAGATTCGGCAATCTCATCTAGTTCTATCTTTAAAATAAAATTTTTGGTGTTGTCTCTAAACAGCAAAGGCTTCCTTAAATTAATCTGGATTATATTACTCTAGAAGCTACGTAATGTTTTATCCGTTGTATTTATCTAAGATAATAATTTGAGTGGGTCTCATAATTTTCAGTTAGAGTAGAATATCCTTAACTTGCTTTTATCAAACTTAAAGTTGACAATAATCATATGGATACATGAAATGCAGGATATCAAAACGCACTGTGATGATGTTTCTTTAAATTATTCATTAGACATAATGGATGAATGTGATAACCCTAAGAAGAAGTCACCTACCAAGATCCGATACCGTTCCATTGAAGATTGCAAAAGAAATGAACATGGTGGCAGACGTATCTTTGATGGCACGGATGGAGAAAGAGATAGATTTTATGGTAAAATTTTTGTTCCCTTATTCGTCCTTTTCAAGGTTCGTGTAAGTTGGTTTATTTCTTACAACCAATTCTCATGCATCTTTGATAGTCTCATCTTTCAAATTTTATGTTCCAATTGGAACATGCATCAATGAAATTTTATTTGTTTTTCCTAAAAAACATAATACTAGAAGATCGTTTAGAACTTTTCTCTGAAAATTTGTCAACTAGTCATATACTATTCCATAAAATTGTCTGCTTCTCCTCCCCTTGTCTTTTGTCAAATCTGTTGATTATTATTTCTCCTTTTAAGTTAATTTTATCTCAACATCTTGTGTCTACTAGGTGGATTTAACTTCTTAAATGACAGTTTTCTTGGGGAGATGGAATGTGATTTCTTCGAGAAGAATCATTTTAATGAAATTGGTAGCGTTTCGTTTGATTCTTTGAACTATGAGAAGTATGATATATCAGAAAATGCATTTGACAGCCCCTATCTACCAAAAAAGAGGTTCATATTGATGAAAGCTAATTTCTTAAGGGTTCTTCAAAGTTAAAAAAAAAAAAAAAAAAAAAAAAAACTTTATCTGAAGTAAATATTTATGTGCAGATGTGCAGGTGCAACAAGAACAATGGACAAATTCAATTTATTTGGTAATCCCCGCCCCCCCCCCCCAAATTTGAGAATCTACGTATGTCGACTGCGAATTTTCTTTTCTCTATGGTTGATTTGCTCAAGTTAGCGCCTTATAGTGCGTCATTCAATGTGAAAAGCTTTCATATACCAATATAGAAAACCTACAAGAATGTATAGCCGTGTTTATTATGAATCTGAGGGTATCGTCTACTTGCTTGTATCCATCAAAATCCATGTGTTGGGCGACCCAACATATGCTTCTCCTTGTTATTTTGCTTTGCAATCTTTTAAGCCTTTTATCCCTTCTTTTGCTTCCTTTCTTTTGAAGTCCTTGACATTAAATTTATTATCACCAGAAGTTCAACAGATGTTTAAGACCCAGTATTGATAACTTGATGGATACTATAAGCTACCATTTTCACTCTTTTGGATTGGAATGTTTTGCCAACCTTTTGACTAAAAGCTTCGTTTTTTGTAATTAGAGCCCGTCAAGTCAAGTTCGAAGCATCCTACTTTAGGACATGATGATGATTTAATGTCGTATGCAAAAAGGTATTCCAAGTTTCACAAAGAATGTTAACAAGGTGCTAAAGCATATACGTAAGTTTTGTCTGGGTTAGCAGGAACCCAAAAGCAACAAGGATCTCTGATTTCGAAGACAAATCATTCCAACCAGATTGGTTTTGCTCTATGGCAGACGATGCAACAGACAACTTCAGCTTGTTGAGGCCAGTAAAATAACTTCTGGCGTTTGGTTTCATTGTCTTATCTTTCTCTCGCTCTGATTAATGTGTCTTAACTTTTTCAACTTTTGACAGTGAGGAGTCTTGTTCAGCCAGTGCAGGTGATATGAGTTTGTTTCTTAGAAATGGAGAATATATACATACTTCGTCTTTTCGTCATATTGATCGGAACAACTTGACTTGCTTTTCCTCTGCTGTTTATGTCAGTTAGAGGCGAAGCATTCAATAGCTCACCATTCAATAGCTCACCATTACACTCAAAACCGAGGCAGAGCATGAGAAGAGGCATGGATGATGATTCTGGCCCTGGGATTAGTTACAGCGCCAACAGCATTTACTCCAGAGACCCACATTACAAAATCAGGGACGAAGAGCAAGAAAAGTATATGCGAAAATCAAATTCATCAAAGCTCGAGCCAGTCCATCACTCAAACTCTCCTTTCATAGAAAAACCACCGCCATTTAAAACCTGGTCTTTTGAAAAAGAATGTAACCTGAGCTCTTCTTGTCAAAGTCCAGCAGCAAATCGTCCATTCAGAGGCTCCATGCCTTGGAATGAATATCCCTTCGCTGAGTCTACTCTTGCTGAATCCTCCTTCACAAACAAACATGTTAAAACTGTTCCTAATTCTTCTACCCGTCCAATCTCCAAAAGGCCTTCCTTTCAACCATCAAATGTAGAGTCCGCTGCACTCGAGCTCGACCTATCTTCAAATTCAAAATTTGTAGGCACATATTCACGCATGGCAGAAACTACTAGTTCACATGGAGAACACCCAATTTCTCCTGTATTATCAGCTCAGGGTAGTGTCGGCACCGACGAAAAAAGTGAATCCAAAGTTCCTTCATTAGGAATTGGAAAGGATGATTTCCATGAAGAAAAATCCACAAGTACTAGAAGCAAGAAGGTCTGTGTGGATGACACTGACAGAGAGTGGTTGGATGATTCGAATCCTGAGAAGAAAACTTGTGATAGCATCAGAAATGAAACGGAAAACAAATCTCTGGCAGTGGAGTATTTGGAGGCCTCCCATTCTTCTGGTCATGTAAAAAACGGTGATGTTGACAAGTACGTAATTTTTACCCTTTCTTTAACCCATTTCAATGGTAAACTGCGCTTTTAGATCTCTACTAAATAAGTTTAAACTGGGTCTAGATTTAACCCCGATGATAAAGTTTCTATTCCATATTCTAAAGGAGAAAAGGGTATGTAAATTCATTATTATTATTGTTATTTAGCTTGCATGGTTCAATGGTAGCTATAGGATTGATAAGGCTCATTTGTAAAGTACAGGAGTAAGAGATGTTAAGGTGGAGGGAAGTAAGACGAGGAGCAAAAGTTGCAGCATGGACTCATCTTCACAGGTGATGATGCTTGAAAGTTATGTTCTCCAGCTTCTCTTCGTGCAAAAGGTACTTCTAAAGCAAGCATCTTCACAAGATTTTATGAAAAATGCATGAAATTCTTCTCTTTAGTCGTTCTAATGCATGCGATTCCGAACCAGTTGATATTTTACTCTTTTCATTTACTCATCATCTGCTGAAAATTTGAAGGTTTGTCTGAATATTTTTGTGTTTGCCTTAAAACTACTTGTATTTTGTCGCATGGACTAGTTGGTGAAAAAGGGACATTCATCTTTTGAACCATTTCTTTTTCTTGTCATCAACCAACCACACTTCTAAACTATCTTTGCCTGCCTCACTTAGAAAGCGACAGAGACCTAAGAATTTTTTTTAGGGTTAAATTCTATCGAATATGCTTGAACTTCGGGATATGTTTCCATCACGACTCTAGATTTTGGAAATTTCAATTTTACCTCTTAAACTTTAACATTTGTTCAAAAAAATATCATTAGATATTTTATTTTTCTTTCGCCTATTTAAAAATTGTAAGTCATATGTGCTAACCTTTATGAAATTCATACCTATTAACATAGAAGCTGTGTAAAAATTAATTATATAAAAAAATTTAATAATGTTTTTTAAAACGAAAATATGTTAAGAATGATCTTTAAATTCTTGTGTAGTTAGTAAATATTTATACTTGTCTCTTAATTTTAGTTGTAAATGAAAAAATGACAACTATGTAATAATATTGAAGATAATTGGTATAATTTAACTTTTTTTTTTAGTAAAGTTTTTTAAATAACGTGACTTAGCTGTAATATTCTTGGTTGGGTTTTATATTTTCTTCAGCTACTCAAATTAGGTTCTCAAGTCAATTCGACAAAGCACTTTTGTGAAAGTTCAATTCCTAATCATATTCCTTTAAATTAAGGGGGAAATAACAAAAAAAAAAAAAGAAAAAACAATAATTTTCCCGTTTTAAAACGGTAACATAGGGAAGGCTTAATGTCTACACCTTTTTTTGATTAATCAAAGATCACTTGTTCATATGTTGCAAAAATTTAAGGTAGGTATCTAATATAACATAAATAACATATTATAAAAATAATAGCTAAAAGAATATTTAATCTTATTTTGATCTAATATATTAATATGTTTAAATTAAAATAAAGGCGAGGAGCAATTATATTAATTATATTATTTTTAAATATTCAAAGAGTAAATAGATATTTAAACGATCGAAAAAAATTAACTTGTAGGAAGCCTAACGAAATTTAAATCTAAGATGAATAATTATAAAGTTCAATGTTAACATTTTTTTTTTCAAAATTGATGTCGATTATATTTGAAATATATGTTAAATTGCCAACACAACACAAGCACAGTAATAATACATATTATTTCTTTTAAAGTAAGAGGTTCAAATTAAATTATTATTAGTAGATGCCAACAAAGTTCCACACTAATTAAGGAACTAAGGAAGTTATATATAACTGAGAATAAATATCTTTATTAATACGAGACATTTTATACTATTTTCATGGAGATGTATATATGGAAAACTTCAACCATACGATGAATCAAATCAAACTCCTATATTTGGATGTTACTAAAAATGATACAAAACAAATAATTTCAACTTCCAAATCAATGGCAATGATCTTACCAAATATGGAGAAAGAGCACGACTTTTTTACATTTCATTAATTTGTTGTTTCCATATGCTTCGGTTTCCTGTTTTTAATTAACTTTTAAATTTTAAAATTANAAAAAAAAAAAAAAAAAAAAAAAAAAAAAAAAAAAAAAAAAGAATCGGTGCCAAGCAAAGGAGACTTATCCACTATTCTCAAAAGTCAAAATCCAACGACTTACTAATGTCAAAATGTTTTTAAGCATTAAACGACGCCGTCAAGGGAAACTAACAACAAACTGTGGAGTCGAAATTTAGAAAATAAGTAAAAAATAAAATAAAATAAAATAAAAATGACAGTTCTTTTGAGGAGCTTTTCCGCTTTCCCAGTTTCAAAAAAAAAAAAAAAAAAAAAAAACGAATATATAAAAGAANNNNAAAATGAAAAATGAAAAAAAAAAAAAAGTTTTTATTAATTTTCCTGAGAAGATGAAGCCGAAGCACATGGCTCAGACGAGGAGATCTTAGAGAGAAATACTCGCCCAAAAAATAGCAGAGAGAGAGCTCTAAAATTGGGGGCAAAAGAAAAAAAAAATGCAGGATCCAGCGCCATCAAACCCTATCCACAGTCCAAATTCGAATCAAATTCCTCCACTCAATGCTGCACTGCCGCCGCCGCCGGCTCACAAACCGCCGCCGGTGGCGAATGCGACGGCCTCCTCGTCGATGTTTGCGAATGCGAATGCCGGCAATGGCTCATTCGTGCCTAGAGCGGGGTCTCATCATCGGAGGGCTCATTCGGAAGTTAGCTTCCGGTTGCAGGAGGACATGATGGATATATCCGCGTCGGATCCGTTCAACGGCGGTTCGTCGACGGCCAGTCTGGAGGAGATCGGATCGGAGGATGATCTATTTTCGACCTACATTGATGTGAAGAAGTTTGGAGGTAATGGAGGAGGAAATTTCGTGGATCATGATGCCAATGGTGGAAGTGAAGGCGCTGGTGGTAATGAGGGAGAGAAGACTTCGAAGCCAAGGCATCGGCATAGCGTTTCGGTGGACGGAACGACGTCGTCGTCGAGCATGTTTGGGGAGATTATGGAAGCGAAGAAAGCCATGCCTCCTGATAAGTTGGCTGAGCTTTGGAGCAGTGATCCCAAGCGCGCCAAAAGGTATTTCTTCATTCCAATTGTGCTTTCTGTCTCTGTTTTGCTTCTGTGTAATTGTTTCGCTTTCGATCCATTTTTGTTCGATTGTTGCAATGCTTTTGAGTTCGTATTTCCAGTAATTTTCTATTATGATTGTTGAAATGATCATAATCTTCTGCTATGGTGAGCGCCAACTACTCTTTGTTTAGGCTAATTGATTGGCTAACCACTTCCACCACAGAAGTTTTCAGCATCTCTGTTTGCTTTTCACCAAAGCTAGATTTGTCAATGAGATATCAAGCTTGTTGTACTTGTAATTCGTAATTTAAGCTGATTCAACATCAATCACTGGTTTTCTACTTTTCATTTTCTTTTGTACACTGATGTCTGAAATCTTTTCATTTTTCAATTGGGTTTGGTAAAATTTCTAGTATCCAGTTGAGGGGTAGAGGGATCTGATTTCAATTTTTTATTCTTTTCATTTGAATGTTTCGTTTGCAATCCCAGATCGAAGCATCATTCATTTTCAAATTTTCAAATTTTTGTTAATAGTATGTTCGTCAGTGGTCACAATCTCTGAGTCTAGAATCTTATGTTTAGCTCTCCACCAGTAGATATTGTCATTTTTGGACCTTTTCTACCGGGCTTCCCCTCAAAAATTTTAAAACTCTAGAGAGAAGTTTTCACATTTTTATAAACAATGTTGTGTTCATCTCCAACCAATGTGAGATCTCACAATTACGAATCATGTTGATACCTGACATTTATGAACACTCTTCAACCAACCTGAGTTTCCACACCATTATAATCATTTACTTGATTTGAGTAAAGCTCCAAATAGGAAAGATGCCCAGATAAAAATAGTTTAGAACATAGACTTGTGAAAGATTCCACATCAGTTAGAGAGGAGAACGAAGCATTTTTATAAGAGTGGAAACTTCTCCCTAGCAGACGCGTTTTAAAAACCTTGAGGGAAAGCTCAAAAGAAAAAACCCAAAAAAGACAGACCATATGTGCTAGCGGTGGGCTTGGGTCGAAACCTCAATCTTTATATTTGTTCATGCATTGTTGTTAAATATGGTATCTAGTTGAGTTGTCATCTGGGAAAGAATCAATGGTAAAGTTGAAGTGTTTATTGTAATCAATCATTTATTTTGTTTGTTTCCTCTTTTTGGCATCAATGTTCACTCTTGGGAGAAGTACGGGTGATGAAAGAAGATGAATTCATTGTATTGCATGATTTTCTTCATCATAATCAACAAAGTCTTGGAATTCCTGGAAAACATTCTCTTAATGTCATTGCTGTTATGTTTAGGATATTGGCAAATCGACAGTCTGCTGCTCGCTCAAAAGAGAGGAAGGCACGATATATACAAGAGTTGGAGCGCAAAGTGCAAACCCTTCAAACGGAAGCAACTACTCTATCAGCCCAATTGACTCTCTTCCAGGTTTGTGTCTATCAATATATAACTGAGCTTGTATTCATCCAGAATGCATTCCAATTGTGGCTAGGGATACAGAAAGTTACTGCAATAATCTTCTTGAAAATCGTGTTCTTCGTTGATAAAAGGTTAAAAGTAACAAGGGTGAAGGCTTGATGTTTTGGTCTTGTACATCGGGTTAAATGGCACATGTAGAAGTACAAAAACAAAAATTAAATGGAACCTAAAATATAAGGACTAAAATGATGTTCTAACCATTAAATTATCATTTCGCTAGTTTGACTTTTAACTATATGAACATATAACAAAGGTGAAGACTCACCCTTGTTTCAGTCAGATCGCATCCCGCGTATATTCTATATTATAGCCTGCAACTTATTCATCTTCCGCTTCTAGGAGATCAAATGGACACAAGCAAGAAAATTTCTTTCTATTAGTCAAGGGCTTTAGGCTTTATTAATTACATAGAAGGTAAGACCAGCTCAAAAGCTGTAAGTTTATAACGAGAGAGCTTAGATAAGATAGGACCCTTTCTTCTTATTAGTTAGATACTGGAAATCCAATCCTTTCTTTTTATATTCTTTTCTCATGTTTACATCCCTTAGATTCACACCTTGCATATTTAAGTTGACTAGAAATCAGCTTAGAACTATGATCTGATTGAGAACTATCATCTTATACAGCGAGACACAACGGGTCTCAGTACTGAGAATACAGAGCTTAAGCTTCGTTTGCAGGCTATGGAGCAACAAGCCCAAATGCGTGATGGTGAGAATTATACAATTTTACGTGTGATTGTAAAGCTCAAAAAAGTTATGAACAAATGTTGATATTTGAAACTTCGATTGAAATTGTGCCAAAACTTTATGCAGCTTTGAACGAAGCATTGAAGAAGGAAGTTGAGAGGCTTAAAATTGCTACTGGAGAAATGATGAGCCCTTCCGAGTCTTTTAACTTGGGAATGCATCACATGGCATACGCCCCATCGTCTTTCATTCAACTTTCACAGCAACCAGGGTCTGCTGGCCCTCAAAACATTCAAATGCCACCATATAACCATTCCCCATCCAACATGTCTAGCCACCCTCTGCATCCATCAGACTCTCATTCTCTCTCGGAGGTGCTACAAAGCGACCCTCTTGGTCGATTACAGGGTCTCGATATCAGTAGTAAAGGATCGTCGCTTGTGAAATCCGAGGACCCTTCTCTCTCCGCTAGTGAGAGCAGTACAACCTTTTGATACAAAACTGGCGGCTGACGCTTGACCCAACTGACTTGTTGATGATTCATGTGATTTAGTATATTGTTCATAGATCGACCTCCAGTTATCTAGAGAGTTTCTCCTCCACTTCAATTATCATTCATTTGATTTGTATTTAAGGACCAAATTCTTTTCTTTTATATTCTTAAGGGGGATTCTTCAACCAGGTTTCGGTGCATTGTTTGTTTCAGCATATGGAGTCTTGGTGTGTTCATGGGTGGCTTGCAGCTTTGTTGGAATGAAATGAGTTGTGTTCGATCTCAGGATGCCGATCGTGTTAGCCTTCATTTTTTTTCTGGCTTGTACTAAATGACATGTTGTGGGTGTATTTGCTTTTGCTTAGACTGTGCAGTCATTGGTAGAAATTGTCTATCTCTAGTTTCTGAAATTTGTTTCTAGCAAGTCTCTGTTCTAAAGTCTTGTCCTTGTCCTTCAACTAAAACTTCGCTAAAGAAATGCATCCGAGCATATCTTTCAGGCTTGCAACTTTAGCTGTAGGTTTTCGAATAAAGTAGTTTATAATCAAATAATCGATGAGATGAATTCAAATAAAGTAGTATAATCAGATAAACTAATCATGCAAAACTTGAAAGATTAATCATTCGCCTAATCAATCTCCAAAACTTGATCTATCCTCATCCTACCGACACTATTAAATTCTTATTCATCTACCGACTAATAAATTATGCTCGTTCATCCAAAATTCAAAATTTTTGTGTTGGATTTTACATACCCTTCATATTTTAAGGTTCAAAGAATTGAATAGACGTGGTATTTAGACAGTGACCAAATATGTCATTCATCTTCAACATTTTCATTTACATTGCTATTTTCAACTTTTTTCCACATTGCAATCAAAATCCAAGGGGGCATATAATTTAGTTTCAGGCTCAGAGTATTCAAAAGTATAGAAATAACCTATAATTCAATGCAATCTGCGGTTTGGATCATGATTTGCAAAGCCACTAGTATCTGGTCATGTTTCTCCACTTATCCTTCAGATCAACCTGAGACAAACAACCCAACGAGGCCTCATTACAAAACGGCTATGGACACTCAAAAGACAAAGGAACGTAGAAGAGCCTTGTGAAATTGGTTACCTCTGTTCTCTCATCAAATATATCACGATAGCTATTTAAGATGAGCTTCCAATTTCCTTTACCAAACCTAAGTTACAAACACAAACAAACAAGATTTTCTACTCAATAGACAACAATTTTTGAGTTACTAGACCGACTTTGCAACGCTATAAAAGGGCAGAAAGCATCAACCATCGCACAATTTTAAGTTTCTAACTAAAAAGTTAGACGCGAATTAGCTTCCGAAGTCAAGCAGTCTCACTAGGGATTGATTGATAGAGAAAATGAGTACCTTTGCACAGCAGTTCTTAAGGTGTCTTCTTCGAGCAAGCTCCACTTTTTACACCGCCTTCTCCCAACAGCTTTGGTTTCTTCATACTTCTTTAATGGAGAAACGGCCTTTCTCTTGGGACTATGAAGGTGAAGCCGGCTGGCAGGACTTCCTTCAGGTAAATCATCTATTGAATCATTCCACTGCAATAAAAAGAAATGTCTTAACCATGGAAAACAGTACATGTAAAAGTAAATAAGAACATAGAACAAAAATAATTAAGAACTTAGAATAATCCAGTCAATTAGGAAGGAAATAATATCCAGTCACGAACATCAATATTTGTAACAGCTCAAGCTCACCGCTAGCAGATATTTTCTGCTTTGGTCCGTCGCGTATCGTCATCTGTCTCACGGTTTTAAAATGCATCTACTGGAGAGAGGTTTCCACACTCAAAATGCTTCGTTCCCCTCTCCAACCGATGTGGGATCCCACAATCCACTCCCCTTGGGGCCCAGTGTCCTTACTGGCATATCGCTCGATGTTTGGCTCTGATATCATTTGTAACAGCCCAAGTCTATCACTAGCAGATATTGTCTGCTTTGGCCCGTTATGTATCGTCGTCAGTCTCACGGTTTCAAAATGCATCTACTAAGGAGAGGTTTCCACACCCAAAATGCTTCGTTCCCCTCTCCAACCGATGTGGGATCTCACAGTATTCCATCTCTTAGAGAAAGGAGTTTCAAGTGTGCGTAGACATGAAGCAAAGAATTATAAACGGCTATCCTAGCATAACTACCAACATCCAAGGGAATCGTTCCAAATTCCCTTTACGTACAAAATGCAACATGACATTAATATCCAGTGCAACTACGATAAAACTGTATATATTTGCAAGTATCTTTTCGTTGCTTCTTGAACTTTCACTACAAAATAAATTTGGCACTACATTGGTAACACTACAACTCTTGATTTAAACGAAAATGGTTGATAACATGACACCAAATCTTAACCCAAAACAGGACGCTCCAACATTACGTTCAGACCGAGCAGCGGCCCTCCTAGCAATGATAATCTCGAACACATAAAACAGTCAATATTGCACATTCGAGAATAAAGCCCTTAACAAGCAATGTAGAAACTATCTCAGGCAACTATAAACAGAAGGCAGAAAATGTGTGGTTGTCATGCTAACAAGATGGCATCAAACATGGGTAACATTACCTCGTATGTACAAGCGGTACTGTTTCGTTCCATGATGCTTGGTCGAGGAAAAACTGTCTTGTGACCATGTCCTGGATCTTTAAGATTTGCACTCATAGGTTGAAGAGGCACAGCCTCTTTGTTAATGGTCGGATTATCGACACCTGCATCATTTCGGTCTTCCAGAGAATTCTCACATGTTTTATTCTTTTCGGCAAGATCATGAGCTACAGATTCTGCAATGCGCAATGCATCAGGAAGTGGATCTTTCGCCACTGCTTGCAGTTCCAAAGAGCTGGTTTTAAGTGCTTCTCGCACCCGGTTAACTTCAGGAGTTTCTAGGCAATTGTATCTTTCAGATGAACTTTCATCCTCATTCTCCTTCTCCAAATCCTCTAAATGACTGATTTTAACCCCTCCACTAACACGTCTATGAAATGCAAGGGATTTGCATCTTGGCAAGACAGAAGTCTTCAAAATTTCTGATTGCACAAAAAGAAATAATGTGATTTAAGATGCTTTAACTCTCAATTTTCAAATTAAAGATCACAAAAATCTAAATTTGATTAAGAACATAATTGTAACCGTGCAAACACCCACTCCTAGCTGATATTGTCCATTCTGGTCTATTCCGTGTTTTAAAATGCATCTGTTAGGGAGAGGTTTCCACACTCCCATAAAAGATGTTTCGTTCCCCTCTTCAACTAATGTGAGATCTTACAATCTACCCCTTTGGGAGCCCAGCGTCCTTGCTGACACACCATCCAGTGTCTAACTCTGATACCATTTGTAACAGCCCAAACCTACAGCTAGCATATATTGTCCTCTTTAGTTGCTACGTATCTTTGTCAGCCTCCCACAGTTTTAAAATGCGTTTTCTAGGGAGAGGTTTCCACCCTCTTATAAGAGATGTTTCGTTCTCCTCTCCAACCAAGGTGGGATCTCGCACTAATAGAATGAACAAAAAAACAATGTGCGCTAGCATGTATCATCAAACTATTATAGAGTGGACGTGTAGATCAGTACTCACCTCGGCATGAACTTGCATTCTGCAAAACTGCAACCTCCTTCTCAGCTGATTCTTGTCCTTCCGCTGTTTCTGTAGCCAACTCTTGAACTCTCTCCGTGTTCATTGCATCAATGGCTGATTGTTTAGAACCATCGTTGGTACCCAAATCCTGATGACTATGTAGCAAATCAGTTCTTCTTGATTCAGGTTGGCTAAGGACTCGCCCACTTCCCTGCCACTCTGTTTTAACACAATTTTCCCTTTGGGAGGGCAATTCAATCCCACCACTGCCGCCTACATCCACGCTCTCAATAGCCAAAATGTTTGTTTCCCGCTCTAACTGAATAGAATGCATCTCATTCCTCATCTTTTTATCCACCAAAGATGCAGATAGTTGAAGAAATGACGGACCTATAGCCGCCCATGACTCTCCCAGATAATCTCCGATCAATTTCAGGGCATCATATCTCGTGTTCATATGCACCAATTTCTTCCGAATATTTGCATCACAAAGTGACGCTTCAACTTCATCCTTCCATGCTTTAAATTCATCTGAAACCAACTCAGTCTTAGTCACTCCTCCTCTCCAAATCCTCCTCACAGCATCAAAATACCTTCCATGTTTGTAAACGCCTTCCACCAGCAAGTACTTCACCGTGCATTCCACCGCCACCGCACAATATGCAGCTTTCATTGATTCCATGATTTGAAGTCCTTCAGCCTTCTCTAACTGTTCAATCATCTCGAAAATTTCGAGTAATTTATCCGTTATAACAGCTTCCGATATTTCGCTCTCAATGGCCCGTAAAAGCACCGTCTTCTTCAGGCGGAAATCCTTGTTCGACAGGGGAATAACCGCAAGAACTCTCTTCAACAAGTGATCGTCCATTGAACTCCGGAGTATGAATTCGGTAATCCAACGACAAATGTCCTCGTTCATGGTCAAGAAATAGAATGGGAGGCAGAAAATAACGGGGAGGAAAACTCAAACTGATGAAAATACCAGCAGAAAAACAAAATTAGGGTTTAATCTCTGCTACACCGGGATCTTCGATTTCAAGAAATTGGAGATTTTGTTCGATGCTAAACGAACAGAACTGGCAGAGGAGAAGAAGAGATGATAAAGGTATACGTCGTTCAGATTGGAGGGAAGAAGAAGAAGAAAAACCAAAAGGCTAAATGGGGCTAAAATGGTAATTTTACAAACTCAACATCCATATAACAGTTCCTTTATGCTCTCGTTCGTTGAATTAAAATTTATTTGTTTCAAATCAAATAATATTTACCATATAAGTCTCGCCAATTTATGTAAACGATATTATAAACGATGTCACGTAGTAAAAAAAAATTTGAAATTTTTCGTGCTCGATGATTATATTAAAAATTGTTTAAAAATACGTTTGAATGTATTTTGTTCTCTTAAAATGAACCATGTCGAGTAATAACGAGTCTGAGTATAATTCAATTTGGTCATAAGCTCCTTCTTAAAAGGTCGGACGTTCAAAATGAAATTATAAAAGATGCTTGCAGGACTAGCAAAAAAAAAAAAAAAAAAAAAAAAAAAAAAAAAAAAAAAAAAAAAAAAAAAAAAAAAAAAAAAAAAAAAAAAAAAAAAAACAACTATATATATATATATATATTTTGCAAATATGGTTACTTTCCTCGAGCTTTGCAATTTTAGCAGCCAATGTTGGTCCAACC